AAGAAAATTTGTGATCTCATTTTGAAATTAATTTTCAAACATTAAAATAAAGAGTCACTTGTTTTTCTTTCGACGTCGGTTTTGTTCAATTACTGATTCAGTTGAAAGGCATGATGTTGTATACAACTATGAAAACAAAAGTTTGAATCAATTATCACTATTTTCATTTTCCCCTCACACAAGACACCACCTAACAAGTACTGTGAAGCGTTATAATGACACGGTTGACAGATGGTTGTGACAAATAATCTCCGATGGGTAAAAAAGAGTCTAAAAGGGCAAAATAAAGGTTGTTGATCTTAAAAGCTTTTCTAGAAAATCTTTTTATTCTCACGTCGATTGCTGATTCGTATCACTTCACGATTATCGTGGTTGGTGAAGTGGTACTCGCGATATCAAAGGAGATTGTATCTCTTGTGAGTCAGTTAAGTTCAGAGGACAAGAACGTCGTGTATCAATATAATGTCTAATATGTCGGAAGACGTACTGGCAAACAGTACATATGATGCTTGGGATGCGTCTTCTAGTTCCAAACGAGTTTACACAGCTGTCATGTTTATTATCCTATCGATTGGATTTTTTGGGAACGTAATGACGATTATTGTATTTCTGCAAAGARAGCAGCGAGCTAAAGTGATCGCACCGTTTGTCATCAACCTGGCTGTCGCAGATCTTTTTATTGTGCTGTTTGGATACCCCGTCGCCATTACCGCTAATTTGTCAGGCATGAGACTTGTCTCTGGTGAATCCCGATGTACGTGGTCAGCATTCGTGAACGGTGCAACAGGCATTGCATCTATTGCAATGTTAACTGAAATAAGCGTATTAATGTGTTATAGCATCACTTTAATGACACCAACTCTTAATACATCAGAGTTAACTTCCAAAAGGTTTAAAATATTGGTCTTAGCTGGCGCGTGGATCTACGGGATTCTGTCGATGAGTCCTCCATTGCTTGGCTGGAGTCGATTCGTTCCCGGTGCGGCGGGAATCAGTTGTGGTCCACACTGGTCTTCAAATGAGATCCAGGGGTTGACGTACAACATTGGACTGGTGATCGTAGGTTTTTTCCTGCCGGTCATGATAATCCTGATCAGCTACTGGAAAATGTACAGGTATGAAAAACAATGAATAACAAAGCTTAACCTACCCCACTCCCCTACTCTTTTTCTTTAAATCCCCACCCCCTACATCCATTTTCAATTCCTTCTCATCTGAAAGGTTTTTTCCCGTTGTTTGTTTGTTTGTTTGTTTGCTTGCTTGTTTGTTTGTTTGTTTGTTTGTTTGCGTGTTTGTTTGTCACTAGTAATCTGGGGGCGGTGTGGGGGCGATGCGGGGGCTGCTGGGACGGAAGGAGTACTCAGTAACAATGGAATAATTTTAAGGAGTTCGATCCTGCTAGACAGTGTTTTGAAATTTCAAAAGTCACGCTTTTGTATGAGATTGACGTACAGAACTAGATTACGGATCGTGCAAGGAAAAGATCTAGAATACTGTGACATCGTGAATCGAAAAGTGCATGGCTTACGGTCCTTTTATATTTCGCCATGTACTAAAAAACGACAATAAGTAACAGCAAAACAAAATAATTGTTTGAATATTGAATATAAAAATGGACAAAAAATGTACGGGTGTTGTTGGGCATGTTTAGGTTAATCTTTTGATAGGGCTTATCACCTACTGGTCTAAACCATTCACGTTCGCAGTTCTGTAATTGATATAGCGGAAAAACCATCATAAATCTAACATCATGAATTTAAAATTATCAGCCAGACTGAAAACAATGCAGACTGGATTGGAAATATAAAATCAATTTAACCAAAGTCTATTTACCATATTGGAAGGGCGATCGCCGCTTGACTCTACAAAATTTATCTTGCATTTTTAGTAAGCAGACGACAAATGAAATCATTGAATTTAAATTCGCCCACGTAAATAGACTATATAAACTGAAAAACAATAACAAGCACTACCAATTGTACTTTATGTGGTATAACCGTAAAAACGCGCGGCTGACAACAACCAGATGGGATACTATAGTAAATAAAAGGTCTTCAAGATATTATTTTGCGAAAATCCTTGCCGATTGCTCCAATTCGTTCGTTTTGGCGTTGCTAGAGAATAAAATTTCACTTGAATTCAATATTGATGGTTTTCAACCATTCCCAAGAGAATTAAATAACAAAAGACACGGCGGCCATGTTGGAGGATATGACAAAATAATTCATTAATAAAGTCCTTTTTTTTTACGAGGGTAGCACTTAATAGCCAGTGGCTAACAAACCTGTGGCCCTCATTCCGTGCTCAAATTGGAATTTAGGAGTTGATTTTTGCGGAGGGAGGAAAACCGGAGAACCCGGAAAACCCCCGAAGCACAGGAGAGAACCATCAAACAACTCTACTCATATACAACACCGAACCCGGCGGGACTCGAACTCGGGTCGCATTGATGAGAGGCGAGCTCTCACACCGCTACGCCACCCGTGCTTCTCACATTGACAATTTTTTTGTTAAGTTCCTCCAACATGGCCGCCGTGAAAACCCTCAATTTGTACCTTCAATAGAAATTACCCGATGAGCATTTCTTCATGAGACCCTTTTTTTCTTTTCAAAGCTAGTGCTAGTTAAACAAAAGAAAACAATAGAATTAGCATAAAATATTGTAAGTTAGTATTGCTAAAATTTCACGGATATATCATTGCACTCTAGTAAGTTGATTCTAATTCTTTCCAGGTGTCTATCAGTAAGTTCCATTCTATCCCGCCAAGAAGCCCTCATACGGCGAAGACGCCATTCCCAGTTTAAAGTAGCTCGTATGATAGGAGTAGCAGTATTGGCATTTCTCGTCAGTTGGTCCCCATATTGCATCGTTAGTCTCATGGCTATCTTTAAAAAAACTTACATCCTAGTCGACGGTGAAGCTGAAATCCCTGAGCTGCTGGCCAAGGCATCGGTGATATATAATCCCATTGTTTATGCGGTGATGAATGCTGGCTTCAGAAGGACATTAAAACGACTTCTCAGACACCGCTCATGTTACAGAGGGAGAGAGGATAGCCAAACAATTCCAGATAATGTAACCACAAAATTTCACCTCGTTAGAATGAGTAATCAGCTGCAAACAGTCCAAACAAGCAGCGAGGGCAGCCCAATGTTTAAACGAAGCAGAGAAAACATGCACAAACTGATTTCAGACGAGAAATCATGCATGGATCAGAACTAATGTGGAATAGCAGGACTTCGTCTCGCTCTCTGCTTTGGTTTGTCTGTTCGTCATTCACTCTAATAGTCCACAAACGTTCACCTCCGGTTAGAGTTGGTATAGTCAAACAAACGTAGAACAGAGTGTCCCAAGCAAACAGGGAAAGTCTAGCTTTTGCTCAATCTGATTATTAAAAGGCAAGAAACCGTGGACAGACTCTGTTCCGGCTCTGCCGTTGCGTTTTTGTAAATGCGTCGACGGACTATTCATTCTAATCAAGCTCTTCACAGATTCCCCTAAAGCTAGTGCTTTTAAAAAGTGTAATTTCCAACGTTTTTAAAGATGTCAGTCATCGACTATGAATAAGATAAATGGCCGTTATTTCAAAGACGGAAAAGACACGGCTCCTTGTAATACTGAGATGTAATCATAATTTGAATTGTTGATGCTTACGGAGGAAGAAAACCCGGCGGAAGCCTCGGCGAAAAACCCTCAGCCGTATGGGAGAGAACAACAYATCGAACAAACTCAACTCACGTACTGGGCTCCGCACGAGGGGCTCAAAACACGGCGACTCCTTGCACCAAAGACCTGAATTGGGACGACGCCTTAGCAGCGTAGCATGATCACCCATGCTACCCATGCTGTACTCTTATACGAGTCCAATGACATTTGTGGTATTCAAAGAGTTATCAAGAATTTTTCTTGTAGTTGTTAATGACTAGCCTCCTCCGCAGACATCTCCTAGGCTCTTTTTGATCCTTGGGCTTCCTGTGGCGAGGACAAAAAATGCGCTTTTTTCCTCCCTCCCTCGTCCCCCCTCCTCTCTCGTCCCTAGTTCTTCTCTGCCATGAAATTTAGCACAGTGACCCCAACAAAGGATATATGGGGTAGCTTGCGGATCGGACAAGGAGGAGGCTAGTAAATGACATTTTAAAATATTCTATTTAAACCGAACACGACACTAAATTCCAGGTGTATTGGGAGGAGTCTGAGGGCCCGTACATATGTCAACTTTCGCCCACAATGTGAACACGACCTTCAACGATGCACGCAGCTAAAAATTTGCACTGCACCATGTGTCCGACTCTGAAACGGTTGCGAGCATCTAAGAAATGTCATTTATTTCTCGTCCACAAGCAGCAGGGAATCAGTATTCAGGCTTCCTAGTCAGAGGGTCGTGTTTGAATTTTTGTCCACAAAGGCCCGCTCCTACGGAGTACAATTAACGATAATTGAACTCTTCTCGACCAATCAGAATCGAGTAATTTAGTTGAGTGTACTATATAAATAACCATTCATTTCTTATATTGCACCTGTTCCATATATATAATGATCATAAGCGCATTACAATATCGTACTAAATATAAACATATATAATAGAATATCCAGTAATCACTACTTAAAGTGCACATGAACCCTTTGACAATACATTCAGTACYGGTTCTGCATAAAGTAAATAGTTGATTGGTAAAATATTTCTTGATTTGAGTGAYGCGTCTCTAAGTTAKGAAGGTTTATACTTCCAATATGTTAATGATGATGACGTCAGGTAAGGTATTTGAGTGTTTTTGTTGTAACTAGTAATACTTAATGCTGGTCATTTTGAAAATAAAAATTTTAAATAGCTTTCATGTAAACCATGAGTAAAATAATGATGCTTTTTAAATACTGTATCTATGAACCAGTTCGATTTTGTATATTTAATTAAGCCTTAATAGACGTCACACTTATTARCATATTGAAAGTATAAACCTTCATAATTTAGAAACGCATCACTCAAATCAAGAAATATTTTACCATTCAACTATTTACTTCATGTATGATCAGTACTGAAAGTATTGTCGAAGGGTTCATTTGCACTTTAAATTATCAATAGAATGCAAACAATATAACCGTGAAACTTTAGTAATGTGTTTAAGCTTCATGTGTTGCTGAGATCAGTAGTGTGGATGTCTTATAACCACCTGAAATTGAATGATGATAAGTACAAAATAGTGCTAATTAAACAATAGAAAACAATGGAATTTGCATGAAATCGTGCTATTTAGTATTACTAAATAATAATAATAATGCGACAAGACGTTGACGGAGTAATACTCTTCATCGCCCACCACGAGACTCGAGATATCAGGTCGTGGACAAAATCTTGAGTGGAATACTAGAAGTTCAGACTATTTAGTACTTAGTGTTTCACGGATTAATTGTTTGCACTCAATTCAAAATAGCCATAATTAGAAAAATATCATACATATTTACAAATTTTAGGGTTGTGGTTTGCCTGTGGTACATTTGACCCGCGGGAATACGGGTCACTAATAGCGGGATGTTTATGTACGTGTCTATAAATACTTTTGCTCGAATAAAGCTCAGGTGATCTCATTTATAGGCGTTTGTATTCTCCTCTTCGCTTCAGATTGCATCCAGGATTACTGGTAAGAGTTGAAATTATCTTATCTGTTTGCAAAATGGTATAAAAACGTCCTGTAAACTCTTATTTTTACTCAAGAGACTAAAACTTGTCGAAGTCTAGAATTTTGACATTTTTAAAGTTTCAAAATGGCTTCTCTTTGACAATTATACCTACAACGATCCGCAATATTTACGAAAATACTGCAAATTAGGTCCTCATTGCAAGAATTATAGATATCATTTGCTTTTGTAGTCTCACAACGAATTTATTTTTATATATACCTGTGTTTTCTCCATATAAGCTACTCACTAAGAGCTGTTTCACTGTCTCGATTCGATATATGCGGCTGGACAGCTGTTCACAAATAGACAGTTTTACATCTTAAGCTTATGTCGTCAAAGTCCCTCTAGAATACTGAATTAAGTAATTATATTAATGTGTTCAGCTTAAAAACAGAACCTTTTACTTCAATCCTGTTAAGTTTGAGTTATACCAGTAAAACACTTATGTCTATAAGTTTAAATCTATATTTAAATCAAAATTAAATCACAGTGAAATTGTCACCATTTAGGCCTTTCGTGTAAAATCCTGTAAAAACAGGTTATTGTTATTTGCCTTCTTAAATGAATTCATTAATAGATGCCTATTTGCGATTATCTATGAATTTAATAAATCCTAATTGCTTAAAAATCGAGTATAAATCCATCTAGGACCAGGATTAAGGTGACAGTCGCAAAGCGAAGCAATTGATATTAAGCTCATTACACTGGAAAAACTTCTTAAGTTAAGTTATTCAATATCATTCATTGAATATAAAGTGTTTAATAAATTATATATACATGACTGCTAATGCACAAACAATTGTGACATAATGTTGGTGCTGACATGAAAAAAGGACAGGAAAATGTGTAGACTTAAAAAAGAAAGCATTTGAAATTCTATAATTTATATAGACATCTTATGTAGGATATTCCAAAAACCAGAGGACAAAACAATAAAATATTACACTCATGAGAACTGGAATTCATTGGGACAAGTGTAATTTTTTTGTCCTCTGAGTTGAACGGCTCTTGGAATTGCTGAAACTGGTCTGTAAGATCGTGGTCACGGAAGATACAGCAACATATTAAGCATAAGTAGCTCACAGAAAAAAGTATGAGTAAATGTTYTACAGCTCCAAAGGTGAGACACCAAGCAAACTAATATAATACAATGGAACTTCATGAAATATATATGGTAAAAAAAATGTTTAAATCGTAATCCTAAGACCCAATACTARCATAAGTAGCTCACAGAAAAAAGTATGAGTAAATGTTTTACAGCTCCAAAGGTGAGACACCAAGCAAACTAATATAATACAATGGAACTTCATGAAATATATATGGTAAAAAAATGTTTAAATCGTAATCCTAAAACCCAATACTAACTTAGCTAGACTCGGCGGTCATATTTCTGATTATGAACATGGGTTTTAGGATTTTTATGCTGTGTGAGAGCTATATGATTAGAAATATTGAATGTTCTCTAGAATTGTAGGACTCTAGAATCCTCAGCTTGATTGGACGTAGAAGCTGTGGGACTGCTATTTTCTCAATCAGCTCTTCTTTCAATATGTAAAAAGAGAGAAAAATCAAACAGTTACTTATTATGATTTGTTCTTCTAAAAGAAAATGTTAGATGAGAGTTAACAAAAAATGATTTGTTTGGAAAAAATGCATTCGATGACAAACTCTAGTCAAAATGAGCAAGGACAGTCATTGCTTGAAGTGAAACTCACTATTTGCATAATTAAGAACATGCGTAATAGGTAAATTACGAGCCTTAGATGAAACGACTGAAGAAGAGTGCCATACAAGCCTTTCACAACTTCAAGTCACGTAAATAATTAGTTTAGCAATCGATGATGGCCAAAATATTGAATAACAAAATTTCATATCTTGTTTATTTATTTCACATTTATTTCTATCCCTATAAAAAAATTTTTTAACTCTTACGTCTGAGGCAAGTGAAGAAATGTCTGGACAACCTCCACCTGGACAGTATCCTCCTCCAGGACAGTACCCACCGCCTGGACAATACCCACCCCCTGGAGGGTATTATCCACCTCCAGGAACCTACCCTCCACCTGGACAGCCAGGAGGGTACTACCCACCAGCACCAGGGTACGGACCACCCTCAGGGGGGTTACCAACTGGCCTTCCTCCTGTAAGTAATGCAAATAATTAATTTTATAAAATGAAAAAGAATAGTCCCCTTCACGGTTCCCTGCGCCATCTTGAAAGGTAGCCGGGCCTTTGCATCGAAGCGAGACAAACGGTGAGCTTGCAATGATAGAGATCTTTTTTAACACCTTGGACAATTATTCACAGGTCCCTAACATTGCAAGCTCACCGTTCGTCTCGCTTCGATGCAAAGGCCCGGCTACCTTTCAAGATGGCACAGGGAACCGTGAAGGGGTCTATTCGCAGTGGCATATCTTCATTAGCTGTATCCAATATGGAAAAATAAAAATGCAGATTTTTGAAAAGAATGGCAAACCTGAAAACCCAGATGAAAAAAAAAAACAAAAAAAAAAACACTCTGACAGGACAAGACGTTCCAGCTTTCCAAAAGCAGCAAAGAAACAAGAAACAACTTCAGCTTACTCAATCAGCATAAGTCAAAAATATCTTATTTTCATGTTATATTTTTCATACTCTCTGTATAGGGTGTGCCAGGGGTTGCACCTCCAAACCATCCACTAGCAGGCTACCAACCTCCTCCTGGATACACACCACCCCAAGGGGGATACCCAGGTGCACCTGGCCAGTATCCTGTAAGTATATATCTCTTGTTATGAACCTCAAACATATGGGCTTAAATTAGTTTTGCCTACCCTTCATTTCGGCTACACATCTTTCCGCCTATGCATCATTTTGCCTACCCATTGTTTCGCCTACACATCGTTTCGCCCATGCATCGTTTTGCCTACACATCATTTCTCCTACCCATCGTTCTGCCTACGCATCGTTTTGCCCATGCATCATTTTGCCTACGCATCGTTTCGCCTACAAATTGTTTCACCTACACATTGTTTTGTCTGCGCATAGTTCTGCTTATGCATTGTTTTGCCTACGCATTGTTTTTGCCTACCCATCGTTTTGCCCATGCATTGTTTTGTCTACGCATCGTTTCTCCTACACATCGTTTTCGCCTACCCATTGTTTCGCTGATGCATCATTTTGCCTATGCATTGTTTCGCCTACGCTTTGTTTCACCTATACTACACATTGTTTTGTCTGCGCATAGTTTTGCCTATGCATTGTTTCACCTACAATCGTTTTGCCTGAACTCATAGATGAGCTTCACAAGCCGGCAAATTGACTGGATACCCAAGTTACAGTGCTTCTCAATAGCAGAGAGAACCAACAAACAACCCTAGTTGTATACTACACTAACCTTGGGGATCAAAAAYGGTTACACTTGTTAGGGGAGGGGCATTAGCAATGCACACTGCCCATGCTTCCCATTTACCCTAACAAGTTTATCAGGTTCCAGTGACATAGAATTAGTATTTTTTAAATGTTAACATGGTTTTCTGAACTTCATAGGCACCAGCAGCAGGAGGGTACTACCCCCCACCTGGACAGCCTGGTCAGTACCCCTCCCAAGGCCCAGGAGGCTACCCTGGTGGAATGCCTGGTTCTTATCCTGCTGCACCAACTTCTAAGGTCTGGAGTCATATCGTTAAACTTAATCCTTTTAATTTTTCATATTTCAGACCACATATTATTCTCTTAAGAGTAAGATTCTGTGTTCAAGTTGTATCCATAGTCATGTGTTTTACCATGTGCAACCATCAATAGAAAAAATTACACTCTTTACACTGTCTAAAGCTAAGAGGGTTGAAGGGAGGACCCAGGAATAAACCTTTTTAGTTTGCTTGTAATGTTTTGTCAATTCAGACCATACATCATTACCTGGGGTATGATTTCTTGGTTGCACATGAGAAGACACAAATATTGATACAACTCAAACAAAGAGTCTTATTCCCAAGAGAATGATGTAGAGAATGATCTGAAATGTTAAAAGATTATGTTCAAGCTAGAAAGGTCTGTTGAGGAGGAGAGGGAGGGTGAGAGGGAGGGGGAGGAGGAGGGGGAGAGGGAGGAGAGGGATGAGGAGAAGGAAGGGGAGAGGGATGGGGAGAGGGAGGAGGAGAGGGAGGAGGAAAGGGAGGAGGAGAGGGAGGGCGAGAGGGAGGAGGAGAGGGAGGAGGAGAGGGAGGGGAAGTAACAACTGATTACCAAACATTTGGTAGGAGACAAGTCCCCCTTGGCTCTCTGCTTAGACCAGTGCTAGATAAGACATGGTTATTTTGTCCTTTCTAGGGATCAGAGAGTGATAGTGACCCAGACGATTATGGTGAGTATGACAAATTGTTGATATTGATGCATTTTAAGGTTTAATTATTTGTTCCATAAAATATCTACATCTCTGCTATGAAGATAAAGTGAGAGTATTTGCAACCCCAAACTGCAGAGGTATTGAAGGACTGAATTAAATGTTCTGTCTTTGTCTCCAATCCCTATTCTGTCCCGCAATGCTCTGCATCCTCAAGGTCATTGCCAGTTTTCATTTGAACTTTAGAAAGGCAAATTGGAATTATCTGGGTGCATGTATAATATGCACATTTTTAAATGTTAAATTTGCGGCATGTAAATAAATATTATCATTGACATGTTAGGCAAAATCCTGTATACAGCCGAACATAACTTTGTGTTACAAAAGAAAAGTCTGGCTGCCTGCAGGGAAGTTGGACAACTTTAACAAAAAATTTGGTATTGGGAGCCTCTAATTTGTCCTCATCTATACTAAATGGTGGGGGACACTTTTAGCAAAATACATACATCTAGTACATTTATAAAAGCCTTTGGTGATACAGGAATCTTCTGATAAAAACCTAGCATGGAATCATGAGGCTAATTTCTAGGGATTGAAAAAGAAAACTCCCTAAAATGCCCTAGCATTTATCTATCGGTCGTATTACTTCAGGTCCAAGAACTATAGAGGAAAAGAAACCAGTGACTGTGAAATTTGTGAACAGATCTGGCAAGAAGGTGATTCTGTTCAAGATTGACAAGAAAGGACGACAAAAGAAGATTAGAAAAATGAAAGACGGCAAGTCAGAGACAGTGGAGACATATGAAACCACTGCTTTTATTGCATTCAATTTGAAAGATGATACGGAAGTTATGGTAATAGGGGACAATGCTGTCTACTTTGCCTCACAATCTCACAGTCAAGTGGATATAAGACGAGAGCCAGGTTGGTGTTTTGTTCTTTGTGTGTTTGCCTTTGGGGGGGGGGGGGAGAGAAAACAGGACTCTTTTTTATTCTTGGTGCTCCTCTATCTTATCAATCCCAGAAACAACTTCTGAGCAGATGGAGGGAGGAAAACCAAATAACCCGAAGAAAAACCCTCAAATCAAAGGAAATAATCTTTGGGCTCATCAAAGTCAGAGCATAACCAACTCACAGATCAAAATAGAAATTTAGCTGGCTTGTTAGGTTTTGTGGAGGGAGGAAAACGGTTGAATCAAGGAAGAATCCTAATAAACTCTACCCACAAGTGACATAGAGTCCAGGAATCGAAACAGAGACCTCAAAGCTGGAAGACAAGTGGCGAGTGCTAAAAGGGAGTATGGGACCGTCTTGGAGAAGGTTTATAATTAGTTCGTCTGCATTTTTTTAGCTGACTTTAGCAAGCTCAAGTCCAAGACAAATGCCACTGCTCCAGTGCAAGTGAAATTTATCAACAGGTCAAAAAAGAAGGTCAGACTGGAATGGATGAACACCAATGGCCACCGAGAGAGCAAAAAAGAACTGAAGCCAGGACGTTGTTGGCGGGTTGACACCATGGAAGGCCATTGCTGGGTCGCTTCAAATCCAAGAGATGAGGATGAGATTATGATGTTGAATTATGGATGGTTCTACTGGCCAAGGAGAAGTGGGAACCAGAAAGAGAGGGTTGTGATCACAGAGGGTAAGGTTCTGAAGGGGCGGGGCAAATCAAGGGTAAAACAAAAGTTACAATGGAAAGCCAGTTAGGGGTAAAAGGGGAATGTATAACAATGGAAAATCATTTCAAAGTAAAAGGGGACAAGAAGAGAATGCAAGACGATGGAAAAACAATTTAAGGTAAAAAGGGGCACAGAAAGGGGAGTATACGACAATGGCAACTATTTTAAAGTGCAAGGGAGAAGAAAGACGAATTCAAAAAGGGAAAGCCATGTTTCTCACATATTCTACCATTTATTTAGACTATTGGGAATTCAGCAGCAGCAGTAGTAGCAGCAGCAGCAGCAGTAGTGATGAAGAATAAACAAGCACCAAGTGGTTATCTCTAATGGATAAGACAAACTCCGAAGATACTAATAATAATCTTCGCAGAATAGAATTACCGAACTTACCATTTATATTGTTTGACATTCACAATTATTAATTTCTTCGAATACACAACTTCTAGCAATAAAATATTTACAAACTTTCTGCTTTAACTGTGTTTTTTTGTTTTGTTATTTATTTATTGATTTTGATTTTTTTTTAACGACGTAAAACATTCCTGTACAAGTAATATCGAAACCTTAATGAATTGTTGTGAACATCATATTCGATGAGTATGCAATAGAAGCCCAACACACTTCATAAAACATTTTTAAAGCTTCGCTTCATATTTGCTACAAAACTATACGAGTATGATTGTACATCTAAGGATTAATTTTGATTGGATGTGAGATGGTGGTTTTTGATTGGGAGAGAGAGAAATCATTGAGAGGTCAAATTTGAAGGCGGGAAAAGATTTCATAAATTTTTAAAAACTTCTAAAGATTTTCATTAGATGATAAATGTTGAGATGATTTCGTACTTTGACCGTGACGATGCACCCCCCCCCCCCCAAATAAAAACTTTTTCCTGGGCTAACCAATGATCTTGAATGCTGTGACTGACATTGTCAATACAATGACCGCGTTATCCTAAAATAGTTTACGCTCCATGCTTTGCAAATTTAACACTCTGATTGGACAACTATACGTACGTACGCTATGATGTCATTTGAACATTCAGGACGTCCAATGCTTGTGTGTAGATCTTCTGGTATTTATCATCTGATTGAGTCGGTTCTTTATCTAAAATATTAATTCAAAGGTCTGCTCAGTCTATCAGACTATGATCGCTTTTGTCCCGATTAAGATTTAGATTAAGATTTGGTTTCAAGTCTTTAAAATCTGTCTTCCTTGTGGATGAGTTGACTTCACTGACGTCACAGTTGTAGATTTTGCAAATCTTAAAGTCCCTATTTTTTTCGACGTCATCGCATAAAAGTGAGAATAGCATGATAAAAAAAGATGCGACATATAAACTACACCTTGGTTCATTTCAGACGACCAAATAATCAAGGTAATGAAACGTGGTCAGAAATAGAAAAACGTGGCGCACAGGCTAAAGTGGTCTAGAGATCTTGGGGACAAAGGTTTCCTGGTTCAAATCAAGTGGTTATCTTTCCTCTTCATGTCAGGAAACACGTCATATAGCGTCACACAGTGTTCATCTTACCTGATTTCAATCTTAGTTCTTCGAGTTTCTTTTGTAAGCCAGAGTTCTTTAGAGTAACTTTCGCCTGAGAAATTATTTGCACATCATTGTTATAGTCACGCAACAAGTTACAAGGGGAATGTTTATGCACTAGGGACTTGAAACGGCAAGCATTTAACACCGTGGATGCACGGGGAGATGGGGAATTTAACGCGTACTTCCATAAGAGGAATCGATGTCCCGGGGACCGGGGGTTTTGCTTGACTCGAACATAAGATTCACCCTGCTAGCAGAATACTATTTTCTTTTTTAACCTTTGTCCCTTAAAAACCCTAACGAGGCGTCACGCACACCCTTTACACATTCCTTTTAAGTAAAAATTAATGAAGACTTGTTATAATCGATGGCTAAAATACCTTCTGATTATTATGTACCAGGCTCCAAAGAGCAGACACGGCCAAAGCACGCGTATAGCTAGACATGTGATCAACATTGCTTATCAAATGAAGTAACAGTGCCTCTGAAACCATAAAAATATTAGCATGTCTAGTTATATTAAGGTCATTGTTTAAGACACATTGATAACAAAACAACAACAAGAAAAATATAAACGTACCATTTGAGAGCAGAACAGATTTACTGTTGCTATGGAAACACAAATTCCTCACCACCAGTAACGACATATCACTGGTCACGTACTTCCCTTGTGTCACGCGGCAGAACTCGAGCAAAATGCTCACACACGAGGGAATCTTCATCACCATTTGTTGACCGTCGGTAAAGAATGTCAGATTGACGAGGATTGACAGCCAGGACACACCCACTGCCCGATGGACATGTTTGGGGCGTCCCTGAGGAGTCTTGAGGGGCTTCAGTTTGGAAAACTGATGTAAAAAGTTGCTCTAAGAGAAAAAGAGAAAAAAAAGCATATTCTAGGAAATTTTCTGATTCTGTTGAATGAAGCCTTTAGAAGAAGCGGAAGCCTTGGAATGTAAAGAAAAGACGGAGAAAGACAGAAGCTTTTTGAATTCTTCATTCTCTTTTTCTGAATCGTGGGTTTCCTGCGCATAACTTTGTCGAAAAAGACTGAGGACAGGGAAGGAAGCTGAACTTAGTGCTACATTTCAATAAGCTGATAAAAGTTTTTAAATATCATTATTAGCTCCAAATGGTGGTCAAACACTGACCACCATGTGCTGTCAGCCAGAAAGAATTTTATTGAAAACGCACCCTAACGTACCTTCCAGATAATTCCCCGACACTCTGCGGTCAACAAGAGATTAGAAAATAAGCTCAACAAAGTCTTGAGAGTAGCAAGTTGGACGTCAAGATCATGACATGCCTGGTCACCAAGAACCCTACCATTTGTCGACACAGCCGTCTTGAGTAGGCTGTTCAAAAAGGTGGACCCTGATTGGCTGGCTCGGGATGTGCTGCTTCCCCCACCGATATAAATAGAAGCTGGACGACAAAGAGAAGATATTACTGTATAAAGGAAAACTAATGGTCAAGGAAAAAAATATCAAGATAGAGGTTTAAAAGACCATATGGAGCTTTGTTAGAAGACAGAACAAGGAAATTCCTTATTACTAGCTTTAGCTGTTGTATCACAGCAATCACAACAGAGCTAGGCTCTAAACTAGGTGAAAGCCAAAAGATCGAATTAGGTTCCAAATTTTCATGAGAATTTCTAAAAAATTTTTTTGTCCTCCAAATTGAGCTTCCTTGACGTTACATGCAAGTGGTCTATTTGGTTGTGTACAAATCTGATGAGTGTCCCCTAGATAAGACAAGACTAGCTAGACAAGACTTACCCTTTGGGCATCGCGCTGTGAGTGTGCATAGCAGAGAGAGTACAGCAGATCTTAGGGTCACCTCCACAGTACACCAGGACCATAACTTGTGTAGTACATCAATCAGACCACATTCTAGACAGGTTACCTTAACCGACCGACCGACCGACAGACAGACAGTAATGTTAGACAGTAATCGGTTAATGGGTTCGTGACTTGCCCTGGCTTAGATCAGCCCAGAGGTTGTTTCAGGGTCTGATCTGTGAGTTAGCCGTGCCCTGACTTTGATCAGCCCAGAGGTTGTTTCAGGGTTCGATCTGTGAGTTAGCCGTGCCCTGACTTTGATCAGCCCAGAGGTTGTTTCAGGGTTCGATCTGTGAGTTAGCCGTGCCCTGACTTAGATCAGCCCAGAGGTTGTTACAGGGTTTGATCTGTGAGTTAGCCGTGCCCTGACTTAGATCAGCCCAAAGGTTGTTTCAGGGTTCGATCTGTGAGTTAGCCGTGCCCTGACTTAGATCAGCCCAGAGGTTATTTCAGGGTTCAATCTGTAAGTTAGCCATGCCCTGACTTAGATCATCCCAGATGTCTACAGGGTATCGATACAAATTTTACACATACCTTAACGTCAGCGTTTCTATAGATAAAGTTGCCAAGCAGATCCAAGTCACTGATGATCTCGTCGATTAAAGGGTTTTCCTTGAAAGAAGAAACGCGTCAAACGTAGGTAAACATAACTAAAGATGCACAAGAAGTACAAGAGGATTAGAGTAGCGAGATGAAAACCTAGGACGGATGGGAGAAGGGTGGGGACGGCGGGTACGAGATTAAGGTTGCGTTTAAACGGTACCAGACGAATTTTTAACGTGTCAAAAACTTGACCTGTACATACCGTTTACACGGAACTGTCTCGTTAATTGTATAAAATATGCGTATTGTATAAAATACCCGGAACCAGATGCAAATTTGCACGGCTAGGTGCAAAAAGTTTTGTTCTCAGCTCAGTCCCGGGTAAACGAACCCCAGTTACAACTGTTAAAAATTCGTCCGGTACCGTGTAAACGCAGCCTAAAATTCAGTGCCCTAAATCGAAAAATCACTGATTTACCTTTTTCCTCCAGGAAGGTCCTTTGCCTAGTTGTAGTGAGTCCATGTTGAGCTGTACATGTAGGTGCTTGATGTGCTCCAGGGTAGTTTCAACTAGACCCTCTGTAAAAACAGGTTATAAAATAGGTTATAAAACAGGTTATAAGGTTAGTTGTACTGGGACAAAATATCGTACTGCCAAAAAAATTACATAGCTTGCTTTTTGATATCGATCTTTTTATTTTGGCCTGAATGTTTTCCCATTTCAGATCATGTGTCATTCTCTAGAGTATCATTTCTTCGTTTAACAGTTGCGAATGAGATGACGCCTGAATGTGGATACAACTCAAACAAAGAATCTTATTCTCAAGGGAATGACACGTGGTCTGGAATGAGAAAATATTACGCTCAAAGCTAAAGAAATATATCAGGCCCAGACACTTGCTAAGCAACTTTTCTTCAGTCCCAATTTCCCAAGAGCGAATGTTTACTTTTCTTCTGTAAGACATACTAACCTTGTATCGCATAGACCTTGGCCGTTTGACTGAGTGCAAGTAAAGCAGTAATAGCAATCTTAATGTAATTCTTATCCTTCTTGTCTTCGTCTGTTACCTTCCACCCCATGCCATCGAACACGCTGAGGAGACTCGAACACAGTTGTTCCCCACTTGTAATATCGTCTTTACAACTTTTCGTGCGCGAATTCCTTTCATTCTTTCTCATAACTGATTCATGTTCTGCAATTGTTTTCTCTTGTCCCGTTGGGGCTCTACCAATAGGACCTTTATTAGTCACCTCATGCGAAACCCTTGTTATATTAGTGCCATCTACAAAGGTTCCCCCAGTGCCTTCCGTGATTACACATGGAGTTTTACTGGGAGAGACTTGATTGGGTAGCTCCTGTGTGTCCCTGATCGTATCGGTCCCATCTGCGACGTTCCACAGGCTACTTCTAGGAGTACCATCGTCCAGTATCTCGACTAATTGGCTCTTTTTATTCCATCCTAGAGAAGCATTAGAAGAATCGTTCTTTTTCTTTTGTTTTTGTCTTTTTCCTTCGCAGGACAACAGCAGACAAAGTAGTTTTAACAAGACACTTTTTAACGAGGTGGCCTGGTTTGGTCTTGACATGRCCATCTTGAAGAGAGCTGAAACGATAATGTTGATAATGGAGACCTTTAGCATCAGGGCCCAGTTGTTCAAAGCCCGATTAGTGCTAATCCTGGGTTAACTCTTAATAAGACCTATATGGTTAATCCTGGATTAGCACTAATCCAGCTTTGAACAACCCGGCCGAGGCTTATCGCTAAATGCTAGGGATCAGGCCCAGAAACACGCCCGCAAACAAAGACTAACACTCAGCATCAACAAAATTTAATATGGCGGCTCATCCAGCAACAAATTCGTTATGACGCCTTGCTAAATGTCGTACGTTTGACAGAAAACGCTTGTCGTCGAACTGCAATTCGAGGTTTGCGGTACCTAGCAAGAACGTCGTGCTGAAGGTCTCTTATCATAATTTGAGCGCCAAAAGCTCCAAAGGTGGATTACTGCTAAATCTTGATTAAAATCTAAATCTAAATCATGTTCAAATCATCAAAAACATCTTCTTTATCAAACCCTCAAACAATCTCAGGACTGATTTAGAAGAACTACCGCAACAACATTCTGGAGAAAGAGCCATCATGGATAATCAAAATGACAGCAAAAAAAATCTGTAAGAATATCAACAAGTACGAGATTATTTCTGGCAGACTTATTCTACAGTGCATGGATTTGATATCACCTTGAGAAACCACGGCAAACGGCACGATCACGGTACAATATACGAACCAATCACGGCGCGCGAGATAACTCATCCAATCAAAATGTGTAACAAAAAACACAGCACGGTGACGGTACGGAATGGACAACATCCGTTAAACCAGTGACAGCGCGCAAGGTCACTGTTCATCATACATTGAAACATTGCACCGTAACCACGCAACGAGACGTAAAACCATATTTTTTTAAAGGCACAAAAATTATCTATTTAAATGTGCGTCTTACCTGTGAAGTAAGTCCAGTGTTTGTAGACAGTTTGTTCTGTTACACTAGGTACACTAACTGGTCCTTGGGACTGGAGAAGAGTAACTAGTAGTGAAGATACTGACAACCACAGGACTTGACAATGGACCAGTAGCTTATCGTCTGGAATAAATAAAATATCAACAAGTGAAATATTCCGGTATCTAAAACTGTTATAATGTAAAATATAAAAGGTAATATTAATCCTTAGAGCAGAACATGCCATCTTGAAAATCACAAAACCGATGAAAATACCGATGAAGGTTGAAGCTTCTTGTTTGCTGCACACACCACGCGCGCGCACTTTCAGTTTGGTCATTTCTATCCAAAATAACGGTTATTTTATAAGAGAAAGAAAAAAACTTGCTGATTGTGCTGTGCTGTGTGGGGTTATAAGTGTCGAGAAGCACTTCTTCTAAAGGTCGGTTTAGACGGTACGATTTTCGCCTACAACTATCGTATACAACATGCTCGCGCCATCCTACAACTCGAGTCGTAGCGTGTAAATCAAGCCTACAACTCGCCTACGACAGACGCGAGCGTGTTGTATACGATAGTTGTAGGCGAAAATCGTACCGTCTAAACCGGCCTTAACACTTCTCTCGAGTTATGTCAATCCCCGCGTGCACAAAGCACGCGCGCGCGTTTTGTATGTCTTTAATCGTAAAGATATCCAAAAGGTAGACAAATAAATGAATATATTTGCTTTTGGTGAGGTTTGCAAAAGGCAAAACGAGATAAAAGACGTGGAAAGGTGGTCATGTCATTAACAGAAATCGAGCTTATTGTCGACGTTTAAAAAACTTGGAAATTAAAACTAAACTGTAATACCTAAATCTGAAACCACGACTGCTAACAATCCCACAATTCTGTGCATGGTGACAGCGTCCTGTTGGAGGTCAAACAACAGGGTGTGGTCAACACGTGCCAGGGCGTGGGTCATCTGTACTAGACACGAGTACATGTGAAGAACCTCACGGACGACCACTACAGCAGCACATGACAGTGATGGTGATGAATCTTGTACTTGGAGAAAAGATTGAAGTTCTGAAGAATCGAGGTGGCTGTGATGGCAAGAAAAACAAGCATATTTAGTACTTACGGATAGGGGATTTGTGGTACCATAAAACTGAAGTGATTGAATTTATCAGCAACGATAGCACAGCTCAGTTGGGACAAGTGGATACAAGTGAAAGCGGGAAAAAGTTGTGGTAGATCCCGATCTCCTTACCCCTCTTGAAAAAAATCTGTTCCGCCTAAACAAGAACTTTCTGTGATAATCATCGCACAAGACACGTTTACGGTACGGATACCATCTGCTGAACTGAAATGCTAGTTATCCAATCAGAAAGCAGGGACAAGGCACGGTCACGGTCACGAAGCCCAACGTCCTTACTCCAGAAAGTTGAAATTACAAAAAATCAAGTTGTCTTTGCATTCGATATCATAAAATTAATTTACATAGCAGCGCAACGCGCAAATGTATGACCACATTTAATATATTCGCATACTATGCACGGGTTCTGTAAGTTAAATCAACATATTTCATGCGAGGCTGCTGGCTGGTTATAACAAATAAGGCGCGTAAAACGTAAAATCTCTTTGGTAGCCAAAAGCCCGTGCATAGAAGTATGCGGATACATTAAAGATGGTCATGCCAAATGGTCGAAGCAGCATACTTTTAATAATATGTAGATTCTTGTATGGCGCATTTCTAGCCTCAATGCGCCTCACATGAGTGACAGTCAAAATACACTTATATACATTGCATTACTTATCCAACTAAAATATTTCTTAAATAAAAATGTTTTAGGCTTGGTTTCTTCTCTTTTAATATGGTCTGGAATAGAGTTCCATAATTGGGTTGCTGAGTAGGAAAAAGCACGACCACCATATGTCTTGGATTTGATGGCTGGGATACATAAGAGCGAGCGAGCTGAGAATATTCACGTGTTCCAGTCAAGGTCCGTCGAGTTTCAAAATGTTTGTATTGTTGAAGTTGTGCATTCTTTACTTTACCGTTGGTATTTGTGAATATTTAAACACTGATTTGAGGCTAAGCCTGAGTAAATGAGTCTGTAATCAAGGAACACAGCGGTAATTTGGAATTCGAAACTGGTCTATTCTCACCTCCAGAATACACTCAGCATGTTGCTTCTCTTCAGAGCTGTTATAGTATGCGCAGAATCAGCAGTTACTAATGCTTGCATCAGCTGTGCCAAGGCACCGACAAATGCTGGCGTATGTGATGACGTCACTGGAGAAGAGCGTGACGTCAAAGAGCCAGCCTCAGAAGGGACGTATGTGTTTGTAGTGCCACTGCTAGTAGACATTCTAGGTGAAGTCATAAAAAGTACTCTTAATTTGGAAATGATTGAATGATGACGTCACGGTATGAAAATAATGACGTCATGAAAATAGCATGACGTCAAAGAGCATGCCTAAAAAGGAACATATATCTTTGTATTGCAATTACTAGTAGAAATTTGGGGTGAATTCATCAAAAAATTATAAGAGTATTATTGGAAATAATTGAATGATGACGTCACGGAAGTGAAGCCCAAGGGGAGTAGAATGATGACGTCATAGAAGTAAAGCGTGAATTAGTTCACCTAATTCTAAATGAATTTAAAATAACATTATTCAGAATGATTGGTTGAAGATAAAATTGTAGCGGATGCTCATACAAAACGCTGGGCAGATCAGGATCGTTAAGGGAGGATAGGGTAGGTAACGTGGTATGTTCCTCATGTTCAACTTACCCACTGGGAAGACCTCTCTCGTTTAAGAGTGGGACGAGGGAAGAAATCGGTGACTGGGATTCCTGTGTCTGTCCAGACGCGTTTGACGACAACAAGCTCCCATTAGATAGTGGGACAGTACCCTGGTCACCAGGACTACGCGTTCTATTGGGAACAGGTGACGAGGAGTGCGATGCATTGAGGACTGCCTCGGAGGTAACGCTAACGGACTGAGAACTTGATTGTAAGTGCCTGTAAGGGATATTTGAGCTTGTTGTGGACACGGAGACTGAAGCCGTGCTCTGACAAGCACGTGAGCTTGTAGCCTTCTGCGAGAGAGCGTTGGTTGAAAAGTTGGTCAATATTGTGTTGAGACGAAAGTAGAATCGATAATGATCCATAAGTGCCCTTAGAGTGGTTATGATGGAAAGAGACTCCTGGAATAAATAACATATGTTACATTAATGCGTTGCTCAAAAAATATAAGACAACAGAATAGCAAATTTGGGAGTATCCCAATGACCCTTGGAAATCAAGGGTGGTGCAGCATCTTTCAGCTCTGGGGTCTCGTGTCTCGTGTGACTTTGATCAGCCCAGAGGTTGTTTCAGGGTTCGAAAAGCTAATAACCAAAACAAAAAAACTAACCAATAAAATGAATACATAAATGAAAGCAAAAAAATTGGGGTTTAACTACATTAATTCAGCATGATGAGAGATGAGTGGAATCAATACTGCTTGCTACACCACCCTTGATGAATCCTTTAAGTGAATTTTCTTACCTGGTTTCCAGGGTCCTGAGAAGTACCAGAAACCAACGAGGCACCCGTAGATAGATTACTGATTATACTACACAACAGTAGTGTGGCCTAGTGGGAAATGAAACAATGGTTTTAATAGATAAACAGAGGAGATGGGAAAATTCTTGATACAACCAGATCATTATCATCACACACAACCTTTATACCATTCTAACTGCCGCTACCGGTTTTCTAATACCACTCCTAGGTGGACGGTGGAAAGCCTAACAGGTATTGTAACACAATTGATTAGGCAGCTGATAGATCGAATTAGAATTTAGAACAGATAACTAGCTAAAAACTAGTGTGAGCTGCGTCGGTGTTTCTAATGAAACAGTAATGATAAAAAGGTAAAATATACACCGTGAAAAGATGAAAAAAACTTACTAACGTTTCGGACGCTAGTCTTTCGTCAGAGTAAAAGACGAAGGGCTAGCATCCGAAACGTCAGTAAGTTTTTTCATCTTTTCACGGTGTATAATTTACCTTTTTATCATTACTGTTTCATTAGAATTTAGAACTTTACTTTTGTGGAGGAAGGAAAAACCCTCGAAGCACAGGAGAGAACCAACAAACGACTCTACTCACATACAACACCGAGACCGGCGGGACTCGAACTCGGGACTCGGGCCGCATTGGTGAGAGGCGAAGCACTAGCAGCGCACGCCACCCATGCTTTCCATTTATCAACGTTTTATTATCGACATCATCACCGGGCATCATGCATTATCATCACTATCATCACCATCATCACCAAGTTACTTTTTTGTCTTACATTATTGTTTCCATGTTTGTTTACCTGTTGTCTAACCATACCACACTCGCCGTCATCTAATATCAATGGCATTGATATACCAATAACACCCCCTGCCACCCCCTGTAGGGCTTGAAACAGTGCTTCATAACCCTCTACGGTACTGGCCAAGCTAGTTGCTATACTCAAACCCATCCACCGTACTTCAGGGGAACGATCGGACCACAGGGTGACCAACCAAGCCAGTGCTTGCCCGTCGCCGTCATCTTGAATCCAATTGGAAATCCATGACTAAAATAAAACAGTACAAGGAGTAAGGCTCCGTCCACACGTATCCGGAAATTTCTTTATCCGCAAATTTATTTTTGCGGATACGAAAATGTTCCCGTCCACACGCAGCGTATTCGAATCGTTTTCGAATCGTTTTCACTGTCCACACGTATCCGGAAATTTCTTGATCCGCCCTGATGCACGCTAGTGCCTAGTCCCTTTGACGGATAGATTTTCTTATTGAGCATGCGCAAAACCGTGTTTACGTCAGCGTATTCAAAAATTTGCGGATACGACCGTCCACACGTATCCGTATTCGTAGCGTATTCGAAAATTTCCACTCTGGAGACCGTTTTCGAAAATTTCCGGATACGAATACAAAAATTTCCGGCCACGTGTGGACGCAACCCGTATCCGCGAAAAAAAATTCCGGATACAAAAATTTCCGGATTGTGGACGGGGCCTGAGAAACGCCTCTTTACCTTGGGCGTAATGTATTCCCAGACCACGTGCCGGTCATTATCTTGAGAATAAGATTCTTTGTTCAACGGTTGCACATTACAAGACACAAGAATATTGAAACAATTTAAACAAAAAAATTTAGAGACTGAGAATGACACGTGGTCTGAAATTAGAAAACATTACGCCCAAGGGAAAGAGATTTATTTTTAGCAGAAATACTCAAACATTATTTTTGCAATTCGGCATGCAACCAGTCACCGTTATTATGACAGCTGGGATACTACCGTAAAACAAAATGAAACTTGAAAGAATATAGGCCGAAATGAAATCTTCCTCGCATACGTTACTTCATTTGTACCTGACTTTAGGGTCAGGATCATATAGGAGCTTTCTGTGCGTAACGACACTAAAAGAGCCTACGTAAAAAACTAGAATTACATAAGATTCTTATTTTTGAGTCATTTTAACAATAGGTTTTGTCACTTTGCTTTGTTGAATTATCAAACAGGTTTCTGGATGGCAATAAACCTCCTCGTCTCGGGCGCGCTCGGGCGCAATGTTTTTCCATTTCAGACCACGTTTCATTCCCTAGAGTATCCTTTCTTTGTTTAACGGTTGCACATGAGAAGACACATGATCATGGATACAACTCAAACAAAGACTCTTATTCTCAAGAGAATGACACGTGGTCTGAAATGAGAAAACATTAAGCCCAAGCCGAGGAGGTCTATACAAATCACAGTCCAAAAAATAAATTCTATCAAGTTGAAGAAGTGCACAGAAGTAGGAAGACTTCCAGTATTCATACCTTGTTAGGGTCTTTTGTATCCAATTCTTTGACAAGATGAACCAGACACAGACTAGCATGAAATGTAACACCTTTACCCATAAATGACGTGCTAGAGCCTAGGCGACCTGCATGGAAGGCTGAAACAACCTATGATACAATAGATACACAAACACACATCAAACAATAAAGATGGCATCACTGTTAGAGCAGCTGCAGTATTGCATGCTATGGCTATACAACCTATGATACAATAGATACACCAAACACACATAAAACAAAAAAGATGGCATCATTGCCAGAGCACAGTGACAGGACAGTGCATTTGCAGCACACACCACCCCTGCTTTCTATATATACAACATCCCTTTGTTCTAACTGAATTACAGCAACGCTGAATGGTTGAGAGGATGTCATGATCAACCCTATGGTGGACCGTACCTTGTTCGTCGTTAAGTATTTTGATTGGATGAAATAAATACATGTATACATTAGGTCAAACACTTCAAGTGCTCTAGTATAAAGGCGCAAGGGAACGTGCAGCGTTATTTCCCATGCAATTATTTATATCAGTCTCGTACCTGGACTAATGACTGCAGCAGAATAGTACACAGTCCCAACGCGTCTTGACTCCTCGAGTGCGCACTCCATTGGCTACAAGCAGACACGTGACCAAGACACTCCAAAGCGCTCTCCAGGACAGGAAGGTCGTAGTATGATGGATTATCAGCGAGGTCGAGATTCAAGGTTACGGCGTATGCTAGTTCTCCAATCAAAACACGTTCACCATCAAACCGCCATTGGCTGGAACACTGAAGAAGACATCTTACCAGATTACTGAAGAATAGTAGAATGGTTTTGCGTAGGTTCCTGGAAGTATAAAACAACGAAACCTATATTGACACTTGTCATCATTTCTGACCATTATTGTATTGTATTCTCACTATTAATTAATTTGATCTTAGGAGATATTCAAGTGGGCGTTTGTTAATTGGGACTTTAGACTTTTTAGACTTTTATTTATTCACACACTTATTTACATTTATTGAAATATATAGGAAAGAGATACAAATATACAATTGAACATAAACTAATAAACCAATTAAACAATAACAATCATGTTTGGGTGTGCGTGGCTGTCGAAATAGTAAAAACTTTCGAGTCGACAGCCATATAAAATAGTAAATTTACAAGTGCTAGTGGACAAGTTAGCAGATCTATTTACAAGTTTATCTGAATAATAAATGCTTAACTAGGTAAATATGTAAACACATAAACTCTGTCCTGTTATCGCCTCCTGTCACACTGCTCGTCTTTTCTTTCCTTTCTCTTATGCTGCGTATTTCTTTCTATTACGCGTAATGTGTGTATTTTTTGGTGACGAAATTAATAAAATAAAAATATATAAATAAAAAATTAACGATAGGGTTATCCTCTTATATATTTCCTTTCGCACTATAATGCGAATAAATTAGATTTCACTCCCCTCACGTGCGCCATTCTGGTCGTGGGTAAAGTTATTTGTTAGTTCTCCGGGTTCTTCAGATTTCCTCCCTCCACAAAAATTAGCATCACAAGCGTTGTTATAATCATCATCATAATCATTATCCATCGTAATCATCATCATCAACATTATCTATCGCAATCATCATCGCCATCATCATCATCAACATCATCGTCATCATCATCATCATCATCACCATCAATTTTATCCATCGTAATCATCACTTTAATCATCTTCATCAGTAATGACAATACCTACCTTCTAGACTCGGTCCCAGCTTGTGACGTAACATTCCCAGAATCCCCTGCTGGAGTTCTTAATAAAGACAATAATGGTCCATCACTCTTGATGGTATTCCTAGCCATCCAAGCCACCACGGGCTCTGGTGGTCGAGAAGGACTTGTGAGCATAGAGGATAACAGTCTTAACACCTCGATGAGTAATTCATCATCATCGACACTGTTGGGCAGGACAAGAAGATACCTGAAGGAGAGATGGTGTACGTGATTAGTCATGCATTTGTTTACAATGTTGAACCATTGAAAAGAACCCATTTAAAAGCCCTTGATTTTGATGCACAGGAGAGAACCAACAAAATCTACTCACATACGACACCAATCCCCGCGGATTTGAAACGGGATCACATTGGTGGTGGCTACCACTATATGACCAATGTCATATGGGTCATGGCAGGAGCCAGTATAGACCCCATGTGACGTCAAAGCAGCTCGATCTGGAGGACTTATATTATTGGAACCTATTGTTTTGTCCCCCAGATTGAGCTGCATTCCAAAGTGCTGCAAGGGGTCTATGCCGGAGTACCCGGAGAAAAATGCTCGAAACCAGCAAGCCACGGGGAGAGAACCAACGTTATTCAACTTATGTTTTACTGACTATAAAATAAATAGACAAATCGACCGCCTTGATTTAACGAGGGTGGCACTTAATAGCCACGTTAACAAACGTGGTGCTCGTTCCACTACTATTGAATTTAGAAGTACATTCTCGCGGAGGAAGAAAAACCGGATAAAAAATCTCACGGCAGAGGAGAGAACAACCAAGCAATCGAACCCGCGTCGCATGAGTGAGAGAGGGAGCGCTCTCACCGCCCTCTCTACATTTAACCTAACGATTCCACGAGTCATCGAATTAAACTCTAAACATGGCCACCATGTCGGTTCTTTTGATTCTCATCAAAAGGAATGCGCCGAACCTCGTTACCTTTCTAATGCTTCTTGCCAGTTCATAGCGTACAATTTCTCAATGGCCATCTTGTCACCCCTATGGGCCACGCCCAGATCCCCCATCAGTGAGGCACGTATTCTCATCAAGGCTACTTTAGCCGGGAAATGAGACACTGCAGTAGACATGACTTGAAGATCATCACCTAAACATACTGGAACATGACTACACCGAAGAACTTGGCAATCAACTGCAGTCCAACGTAGGCTCTCCCAGAATCTATGAGAAATGTCATAAGCAATACTTCTAGTGACATCAACCTGTGTGTTGTTCATGTTCCAACCTGAGATCGGTTGGCTGGTGACACAAAGCAACTTGCCACGAGATTTGGTGAAAATGGTTGACATATTAACACCACAATGTTTTCGCTAGTGTAACATGAAGTAATAATAAATAATAACTAATAATATGTAACAATACATATATTATCTGCTGCTCAAGGCCCAGCTTGCTACTTACTTGTGTTGTTTACTAGGTGAGGCTCGTCCATCGTCTCCCTGGACAGCACACAGTTTCTCTAGACTCTCGTGCCATGATAGATTCCAGTGAAATCTCAACATTGATAGAGCTGGGTCTGTCTTGAGAGGGTCTGGGTTCTGAGGTGGTGGTAGTTGGTGTTCACTGGTTGATTTGTGTACAGCTGGGTTGAATGGAAGTTGGTACCTGAGGAAACGTTAAATTAGTATACAGACTAACCTCTATAATTGATGGTTTGCAAGCATTGCAAAGAGAGTCGAATGACAATGACTTTGCGGCCATGTGGTTGATATCAACAGAGGAAGCTATGATGAGTTAGTATACTGAAATGTGTCTTATAAAAGTAATAAAAAACTTGCTTGTTGAGCTGTGCGCAGTTAGAAAGCTTATGGGAATTGGAAGACATTCCGCCACGACTAATGCTTCTCATAACACTTCTCTTGTGTCCTGACAACCCCCACGTGCTTCATAATTGCACACAGCAAGCGCGCGTCTTTGTTTACTTATTGTTGATCTCGTGATGTTGACGCACGAGTTTGATACAAACGCACCAACCTACCTCTTGACAAGACAGGAAGGAAGACTAAACACTCTCCTCTGACTCTTCTCAACAGAATATTGCGCCACTTCATCAAACAGCAACAAAGCAAGCAGACAAGCTGCTTCATAACTTGCTTGTACACTGGGCCGACAAACCACCGAACACATGACTATAATGGTGTAGACAGACATCTTGTTCACGAGGCGCCGCCGACAAGACCAGCTGTACTCTGTCAGCAGCCGAAGAATTTTTAGACAAGGGGGCACTATCTCCATACTTGAGGAGGGCGTGGTAGGGGTGTGGGTATCTGCGTCCTTTTGAAGTATTTCTCTCAGGATCTCTAGTGTTGTCTCTTCGGCTTTAAGATCTAGAAGCTCGCTGTGCCATTCGGGATCTAAGGAAAGATAGGCGTAAGCAAATTGTTGTCAATAGTTCTTATTTTTACGCCCTTCTTTACCAACCTTGTAATATTCTTTACCTTGTAGTATTATTGCCAGTTGTTCAGCAGCAGACTTCCTGATATTCCAGTCCATTGATTTGGACGAATAAATAGACCAAAGTTTGACTATCTCTGCTTTCTCCACACTTGGATGGGACATAGGAGTATGAGAGTTCATGGTTGAAGTCAACTGATCAACAATAAACAAATCTCTAAGATTCTCCGTTTGTCTACTTCTGAATAAACGCTGTCCCCAGGAACTTGTTTTGTCGGCTGTCAAGTGTCCAACTACTGCCGCAAGCCCCTGGGTCCTAATACTAGGGTTCTGTAGAAACATTAGCATTAATGCTCCTTTAAGCTGGTCCCGAGCTTTCAATGTCATCACTTGTCCATCAGAAGTGATCTGGCCAGAGGTTGCTGGAGAAGAGAGAACTAGTTCCAAAATGCTTTGGTCCAGGGTGGGGTGAGTACCAATGAATCCCTCTAGGAAGGGTAAGGTAGGGGTTATGACATCAAGTAGTCTCTTCCATAGCTGGCTGCTCATGCTGAGTCGACCTAGAAGTAGAGTTTCTAGCAGGTCTACAGCTATTGATTGCACCTGTGATGAAAATAATAATACTAATCAAATTCAAAACATTAGTATACTATAAGATAATGTACTAGTGAACTATTATAACAAATCATGAAAACTTGCGATTGAGAAAAATATAGGGTTGGCAGTCAATAGTCAATGCCCAAAACAATGGAAGCTGGCAAAACAACCTCTGGGCTGATCAGTCAGGGCACCGCTAACTCACAGATTGAATTGGGATTTAATGTTCGGTTTTTCAGAGGGAGGATATCTGGAGAACCCAGATAAAGACCATCAAACCAAGGGAGAGACCAAACAGACTCTACTCAAATGTGACAACAAGTCTAGGAATCAAACAGTAGTCCCTAGAGACCTAGAGATGAGAGGTGAGTGCACTACCACTGTGCCCCCCCCCCCCC